AGCATGTTTTTATTGCTTTCCATTTTTATTTTTCTTTTTGTAGATTTATGGTTACAAATGCACTTGTGTTACATGGATTTATTTCATAGGGGTGAAGTCTGACTTGGTACACTCATCACCCAATAGTTCATATTGTACACAGTAGGTAATATTTCATCCCTCATCCCCTCTCTCTCTCCAACCTGTTGGCATCTGCAATGTCTTATTCCACTCTGTTTGTCCATGTTTACCTATTGTTTAGCTCCCACTTACATGTGAGAAGATGCAGTTTTTGACTTTCTGTTTCTGCATCATTGCACTTAGGATGATGACCTGTGTTGCTGTAAAGTGGAAGGAAATTTATCTCAAATAAGTTTTCCAGAGTGTGCCTACAGAGCATTGAAAGGCCAAGAGTCCAAGACCAGCCTGGGCAACATAGCAAGACCCCATTAAAAAATTTTTTTTTAGTTAGCTGGGCATGGTGTTCACCTGTAGTCCTAGCTACTTCAGAGACTGAGGCAGGAGGATCACTTAATGCCAAGAGCTTGAGGTTACAGTTAGCCAAGATTGTGCCACTGCATTCCAGCCTGAGAGAGAGAGAGAGTGTCTCTAAAAATTGTTTTAAAGTAGAAACATGTTTCATTTTCCCCACTATAGAGGAGACAGTGTAGTCTTGAAAACTCTCATGACCCACCCTTCTTGTAGCTTTGTGTGTACAGGTAGATGCAGGGGAAACAATGCATCCACAGCTGTCAAATGTAACTCACAAAATGCATCCTCCCCTTTCTAATCAGATGCAGAACAGTGTATACCATGGACAAAACGTCAAGACTCAAACTGTAAGTAAGATGGCTACCTGTCAGTGTGGCAACCTTCCTGGTTTATAATGACTTTTTGGGCCTGTGCTTCTGTGGCCTCTTTGTGGGGGGGTTCTTGGGGTCTTTGTGAAGCATCAGGACACTCCCATAGTCAAGGCCAATAACGAGGCCCTCAGGTATGTCCTGTTCATTGCCCCCATCCTGTAACTTCATTGCCCCTTACCTTCATTGGCCATCCCATTACAGCCACTTACATCCTTTGGAATATTAAATTTGGCTGGGTGCAGTGGCTCATGCCTATAATCCTGGCACTTTGGGAGACTGAGGTGGAAGGGGCGCTTGAGTCTGGGAGTTCGAGATCAGTGTGGGCAATGTAGTGAGACTCTGTCTCTACAAAAAAATTTAAAAATTGGTTGGGCACAGTGGTTCATGCCTGTAATCTCAGCACTTTGGGAGGTGAGGTGAGCAGATCACTTGAAGCCAAGAGCTCAAACCAACCTGGCCAACATGGTGAAACCTCATCTCTATTAAAAATATTTTTAAAATTAGCTGGGCCTGGTGGGGCATGCCTGTAATCCCTGCTGCTTGGGTGGCTGAGGCACGAGAATCACTTGAATCTAGGAGGCAGAAGTTACAGTGAGCTGAGGTCACACTGTTGTACTCCAGCCTGGGCAGCAGAGTGAGACTCTGTCCCAAAAATAAATAAATAAATAAATAAAATTAGCTAGGCATGATGGCATGTGCTTATAGTCCCAGCTCCTCGGGAGGCTGAGGCGGGAGGATGGCTTCAACCTGGGACGGACGATGAGGCTGCAGTGACCTGTGATGGTGCCACTGCACTCCAGCCTGGGCAACAGAGCCAGACCCTGTCTCAAAAAAGAAAAAAACATAAAAACCACATATTTGGAGTTATGTTTACTTGTTTGCATAGTTTGGCCAAAATGATCACTGCAGTTCTGACCTTCAAGGTTACCATATAAGAGAGGGATAAGGCACTGGTTGGTATCAGGGGTACCCAAGTCCATCATTGCTACCTATTCCCTGATCTAAGTAAGTCTCTAATCCCAACACTTTGGGAGGAATTTCATGGGGAATGACTACAGCCTTCACGCATATGGATACATAATATGAGCCTGAAAACGTCATCACATAAAACCACAATTTGGTTATTGACTATTTCGTGAATCCTGGGTTCCTTGACTCATGGGAGCTTCAGTGTGGCTTTTCTGGCCAGGAGCTTGTGTGACATTTTCAGTGAGGCCAGTCCTTAAGTTTAGCATGCTGGTATTTTTCAGTGTCTAGGTCACCATCCTTCCTGTCTACCAAAATCCCAGATGGGGACGGTCATGGTGGCTATGGAAATATCAGTCCTGGCCTCCACTGATTTGCTGCTACTTCTCTGTCTGCAGATGCTATACTGTTCCTGTTACTTTTTGTTTTGTTTTGTTTTTGGAGACAGGGTTCTCACTGTGTTGCCCAGGCTTGTCTCAAACTCCTGGCTTTGAGCAATCCTCCTGCCTCAGCCTCCCAAAGTGCAGGGATTACAGGTGTGAACCACTACACCTGGCCTGAGTTTTCAGTTTTTGACAGCACTCAGTATATGTGGTGACACACATTTAGACTTTAATACTGAGAGGTTCCATTATTACTATTATTATTATTGTATTGTATTATCATGTTCTGTCACCCAGGCTGGAGTGCAGTGGGAAGATCACAGCTCAGTGCAGACTTGACCTCACAGGCTCAAGTAGTCCTCCTGCCTCAGCTTCCTAGTAGCTGGGACTACAGGTGTGTGCCACCATGCGTGGTTAATTTTTTTTTTTTTTTT